TTATCTCCACAAACAGTCTTAATAGCATTTGACACCCTAGTCATCCCATCATACACATACCCCATTGCTGGTTTACTATCTGAATCCACAACTCGAAGCAACTTAACAATTTGAGCTGTCAACTTAACAATGAAGTCACAATCAGCCAAAAACTGTTGATCGAGTACAATTGCCTTCGCATCCTTTCCATCCTTAGTACTTGAAAGATTACTTTCTCTAAAGAACTCACTAATCACCAGTTCCTCCAAATCATGCATGTGCTCAAAAGTACTTTGCAAACTCAGAAATGTAGTAGCAAATCTAGTAGCACCAGGTCTCACTATTTCTTTCCAATTCTCCTTTGTCATTAACCAGAAATAAATTGGACCATAATTGTAAACAAATTTGGAGACCTTGGTAGCTCGATAGGCAAGCTTCTTAACATGAGGAATAGATCCAATGTCACTCAATATCAAGTTAAGGGTATGAGCAACACAAGGAGTCCAATATATATGACCATAATGCTCATGTATCATTGTCCCTGCCAATTTATAGTTGGCTGCATTATTGGTCACCACATGAACAACATTCTCCGCTCCGACCCAATCAATGACCTCACAAAATAACTTAAACAAGTTCCTTCCACTCTTGATCAAACCAGAAGCATCAATGGACTTCACAAAGCATGTTCCAGCAGGAGAATACACAAGAAAATTGATTAAAGATCTACGCCTATTATCCGTCCAACCATCCGCCATAATAGTGCATCTTCATTCCAATGAGACCTCAAACTCTCAATCAATAGATGACATTCTTTCACAATGCTATCCAACAAAGTCAACCTCAAAGCATAATATGTAGGACCGCCATAACCAGGACCAAGAGTCATAGAAGCATCCAATGCTATTTTAAATTGTGGAGATTTAATGCTTCTAAAGGAACACATGCATCATAGAACCATCTAGCCCATGCTCGATCCACATACAATACAACTTCTTTAGTTGCTAAGGCACTCTTTATTCCCGATTGACTACCGGAAGATGACCGTGGAGCAAAGAAAGTGTCAACAGAACCCGTAGACACATTAGGAGCAACTCTTTTAGCACTATTATCATCTTGTGCACTAGAAGAATTTGTATCACGAGGTTCTTTAAATCCAGTTTTGACAACTTCAGATTTCTTCTTATTAGTTTCATAATTAGTCAATAGCTTCTGCATGTTTTGGCTCACCTCTTCCGGAACCATTGAGCATATTGCATTATCCCCACTAACAACAGCTAGATGTTTTTTCATTCTAGTGATTCCTCCACCTCTAAATTCTTTTTGACAATAGACACAAGTGAGTACCTCCAATTTTCCATCAAGATGCAAGGAACAATGAGCCCAAGTTGGATCACTTTTGCTTCGTACACCCTTTGCGGTAATCTTCGAATTACTAGGAGTTGCTCCTTTATCAACTGATTGGGCTTCTTCTTCACTAGCCATTGCTGCCAAAACAGCCAAAATTCTCATTAGAATAAATTATAAAGGGCAGAACATTGGAAGAGGCAGAGCTCAGATTAGGTGGTGTCCTTTTGAAGAAGAAACCGAGGCAGAGACCTTCTTCCTTACCCAACTCACGTCCCAATTCTAAGTCTGTTCTCTTATAATTAATTAGTTTAATCTATCATCACACTAATAATTCACCACAATAACTCGCTGCGTTCTTGAGCAAGTGAAATGAGAAGTTATAATTAATTAGTTTCATTACCTATGCCCGCCGCGTTCTTGAGCAGGGGAGGCCGGAGGGAGAGGCGCGCTGGCTGAGGAGGAGCGGAGGCCGGAGAGGAGCAACGGAGCGGCAGAGGAGCAGCGAAGAGGAGCAGCGGAGCGGCAGAGCAGATCAGGGATCGCGGTGGTTCGTCTCGACGCCGGTCGCTGGTCACGGGCTCGGTGGTTCTTGGTCGCCGGTCACCAAAGGAGAACAGGAGAAGAGGAGCAGTGACGGGGGTACCTCTACCTTGACAAACGTTGGGGAGAAAGAAAGAGGTGGAGCGGCTGGGTGTTTTTTTGGTTCGACAGAGATTAGGTTTTTGAGTTTTGGCCTTCGGCCATTTTTTATTTCTTTTTTCTTTTTTGGGTGCCAAAACGACGATGTTCCATTCCCAATAGCCTACCCACGGTCAGACCAAAATCGGGCGGTATTTCGGTTTGTGTCGTTTCAACCGGCCGGCGCGATATTCTGGCCACAACTAGGTTACCGTATTGGTCGTGCTCCGGTTTTCGGTTCAACTGGTTCAATCGGCCGGTACGATCCGGTTTCCTTTACCATGTTTCAAGTTGCTTTGGTCGAGTCGAATTAGGTTGTATACCCATGAGTTTGGACTCAATTGTAATTCTCAATCAAAAGGAAAAAGATAAAAAAAATACTAAAGCGGATAAAACTCACTCATTACCCCAAACTCTCAAAAGTTCATTCAACTCGCTTTGACTGAGTCAACCCAGTTTTAACAAATTCACAATTTACCCAACCTGTCCATTACAAAAGCGAATAAAAATCGCTCTTGATACGAAACGTGTCTACAATGGTTTAGAGTTCAATTGTCATTCTCAACGAAAAGGAAAATGGAAAAAAAAAACATTAAAGTATACGAAAATCGCTTTTTATCTAAAACTGGTCAATAACGTGTTCAACTCGCTTTGAACAATTTTTTAACTAATTAACACTTGGTCCAACCTGCCAACTACAAAAGCGGATAAAGCTTGCTCACAATACAACACTCATCAAAACCTTAGATTCGGGTTCAATTGTCTTCCCAACCAAAAGAAATAAAGGAGAAATTAATAAATGCTAAAGTCGGTTTCAAGTCGCTTTAACCGGATCGAATTAGGTTGGATATCCATGGATTTGGGTTCAATTGTGATCATGCTCAACAAAAATGAAAAAGTGAAAGAAAAAACAGTAAAGAGAACGAAACTCGGTCCCGATACAAAACTCGCCAACATTGAGTAGATATGGTATGGATTTTCGGTAGCGGCATTGGGTTCAATTGTGATCATGCACAACAAAAAGGAAAAAGAGAAAGTAAAAAACACTAAAGAGGATGAAACTCAGTCCCGATACAAAACTCGTGGTAGCGGCCTTGGGAAACGATGGTGGGGAACAACTTAGGATTTCGCCGACAGTATTTCGTGATGTGCTGCCAAATGTGGGCAAAGGCGATGATTTGTGTTCAAGTTAGGATACCCATATGTTTAGGTTCAATTGTGATCATGCTCAACAAAAAGGAAAAGAAAGAAAGAAAAGAAATACCAAAGATGATGAAACTCGGGCTTGATACAAAACTCGTGGTAGCGGCCTTGGGAAACGGTGGTGGGAAAATACTTAGGATCCTGCCGACAGTATTTCAAGATGGGCTGCAGAAGGTGGGCAAAGGCGATGATTTGTGCAAAAACCATAAACGAAAACCTAGCGAACAATAACTAAACACAAAGGTTGTAGAATGGAGAGTGGGGTAAAAGAATGACTTAGAACTTCCTCACTTGCACTTGGAGGAGTGTGAGAGCCACTAATGAATAGTAACTCCCATGTATGGCTTTTATATATTGTAGAATGGAGAGTGGGGTAAAATAATGACTTAGAACTTCCTCACTTGCACTTGGAGGAGTGTGAAAGCCACTAATGAATAGTAACTCTCATGTTAGGCTTTTATATATTAATTATTATTATTATTAATGTTCGGTTTTTATATATTAATATATATTAAGGAATTTCCTATGGTAACTTGAAGTAAGGTAACTTGAATTTTTTTACCTGCTATAGTAGGTTTCATAGGTCACATTACGTAAAATACAATAGACATTACGTAATGGTTACGTAACATATGGGTAATCTTACGTAACAATTGCAAAAGATCATTACGGAAGCCTTACGTAATAGAATGTGTTGTTACGTAATGAGTATTAACCTCGTGTTACGTAAAATGCAAAGTCATTACGGAAGTCTTACATAACACTACTGATTTAACTGTTACGTAAGAAATAACTGTCGTTCCGTAACCTTTACGTAATGAAAGGTCTCTTTACGTAATGAGTATTAACCTCGCGTTACGTAAAGTGTTAAGTCATTACGGAAGCCTTACGTCATGGAAGGTTTCTTTATGTAATGAGTGTTAATGTCGTGTTACGTAAAGAGCTAAGTCATCACGGAAGCTTTACGTAGCGCTTCCGATTTCACTGTTACGTAAGAGATAACCATTGTGTCATAACCTTTACATAATGGAAGGTCTCTTTACGTAATAAGTATTAACCTCACATTACGTAAAATGCTTAGTTATTACGAAATTCTTACGTAACGCTTCTAATTTAGTAAGAATTTAAATAAGGACATAATTGGTAGAGAGATGCAAAAGAACTGTGACAGGAATTATTCTGAGAAAATGAGCTCTGATTATCTAGCGCCGGAGACCAGCCTCAAGCCCTCCGATCGGCCGCCGGACCAGATCATAGCCCCAACGATACCTTCATCAACAGCCGGGGAGAACCTACTCAGGGAAGATACTATGGTGGTGGATGCGCCGGCGACTGTAAACCTTTCCCCGGTAGGTGCGAATTCAGTTCCCATATCCTACGCTAAGGCCGTCGCCGGACCGACGATGAATGCTCCTCTGGAACCGATATCATGGACGCCGGTAGGTGAGAAAGACCTTGTCGAGAGCATTTTCAATGGCGAACCTGAGCTCATTGTCTCCGCCGATCTAAAATCCAAGCTCAGCAAGCCCTGGCAAAGATCTCTAGTGGTTCGCACACTGGGACTGCGAATCTCTTTCTTTGTTTTCAGCAATAAACTACGAGCTCAGTGGCGTCCGACTGGTGCAATGGAAATCATGTTTCTTGGTCAGGAATGTTTCCTTGTGAAACTGAACAATGACGCAGATTACTTTCGGGCTCTCACCGAAGGCCCCTGGACTATCTTTGATCATTATCTTCTAGTCCAGCAATGGACTCCGGAGTTCCGGCTCACCAACAAGCTACCAAGTTCCATGATAGTCTGGGTCCAGCTGCCGGCGTTCCCTGTCCATTTCTACCACCGAGAGGTTCTATTTTCAGTTGGGAACATGATCGGGAGAGCCATTAAACTGGATTACCACACTCTGCACCAGCAGAGAGCGCAATTCGCCCGGATAGCGGTGGAGGTAGATCTCTCTAAACCGCTAGTTATTAGAATCCGGCTCGATGGGGCTTGGCAGTATCTAGAATATGAGAATTTGCCGGTGTTATGTTTCAAATGCGGCAAAATTGGCCACACAAAGGAGACCTGCCCCGACCTGAAGCCGGCGACCCCTCAACTAGCGATGGTGGAATTCGGAAACCCGCCGGAGCCGGAGATGCAAGGCTCATCGGAGGAGAAAGTTGGGTTCGGGCCATGGATGGTAGTTACGCGCAAATCACGGAAGGGAAGTAAGATCCAGGTGTCCGGAAAGGGAAACTCGGCCTCTGATCAAGCGGAAGTCCCCAGTCAAGGGAAAGGAGGAAAAAGGGAAGAATAATAATAGAGAAAATAAATCGACCGCAGATCAAGCATCGGGACCCAAGATTCTAGGAACCCAACGGCCGACTACTCCAAATGGCAATATAATATTGGGGAAAGACAGCAGCAGTGGAACAAAAAAGAAAGGGAAAGCAATTATTGAGGAGGTTTTGGGGAAGGATACAAGCAAGGGAGTGCTTGGGCCGGTTCCCCAATTCCTGCAGACCAAATCTCCCAAGCCCAATGGCAACCCAAACTTAAACTTATTGCAGGCTGGAGGCCCATTAAAGACAAAGGCCAAAGCTGCTACCGTTGCAGGCCTGAAGGATGGAGCCCAACCCACTTTTTCGAAAGCACCGAACTCCCCATCACTGACCTCGGTGCCCAGCACTAGTGGGATGTCGATCCAAGTCGTCAATCTCCCTCCTTCCGACCCGAACGACAGCAAACAACTGATGGCGGCGACTCCTTCGGCCTCGGCTCGCACGAAGAACCAAAAAAAGAATCGGAAGAAAGCGAAATCCCCAAGCAAATCCCCTCTACCTTTTTCAGCCAAAGCCCTTCAAATTTGGTCTCCGGTGAAGGAGAGGAAGAGCAAGGCGCGAACCAAGCTTGCTGCCCTGACTCTTCAGGAAATCGAGGCCTGGACAGGGGCTGCTGGACAATCGGAAGCAACGACGAAATCTCCGGACCAGGATAGCGGTGGGAGGGCTACGACCATCGAGGGGAACTCGGCAATAGCCGAATCATGATCAGACTCCCAGCTCGACCCTTTGCTCTTTCCCTCTCCCTCTCTTTCTCTCCATATTTTTTTTATCATGTCTGTTGCTCATTTGGTGAATGTTAAAATTTTGGCTTGGAATATTGGCGGTGCGGGCAATCCAGCATCGGCCAGGGCTCTCAAGCTTATTGTTAAAAATTATAAACCTGATTTTCTTTGTATTTTGGAACCTCGGATCAGCCGGGATTCGGCAAACAAAGTGTGTGAGCGCCTTGGCTTTCCGAATGTCATGCGGGTGGAAGCAGATGGGAGGAAGGGAGGCATTTGGCTATGCTGGAATGCTTCCAACTTCCAACTACAAGTTCTGTCGGCCTGCTCCCAGCACCTGTCGGTCATTGTCTCTTCCGGAGCCTCCCCGAAATGGCTGTTTACGGCCATCTATGCTAGCCCCCGCCAGAGCCAGCAACGCAGGCTGTGGCAAACACTCTCTCACACAAGTCTCTCCAACGATCTGCCTTGGCTGCTCTCCGGTGACTTCAACGCCATCCTAACCCCGGAGGAGAAGTCTGGTTTTGCCTCACCAGCCACGTTATACAAGTGCAAGACTTTCAGTGACAGGATCAACCAAGCGGAGCTGATCGACCTGGGGTTCTCTGGACCTAGGTTCACTTGGACTAGAGGGGAGACTCCCAACACCTTCAAGGCCAGCCGGATTGATTGGAGCCTGTGCAACTCCCTCTGGAATTCGAATTTCCCCGAAACCAGTGTCACCCATCTTCCCCGCATTCATTCGGATCATCATCCCATCCTCACCACTGTTGGGAATCAGGGAGTTAGCTCGTCGATTTCTCGTCCCTTTCGTTTTGAAGCTGCTTGGTTAACTAGTGACTCTTTTGATCATCTGATTACAGGAGAGTGGGACCAACAAGCGCCTCTTCCGGTGGATTAGGAAGGGAAACGAAAAAGAGAGTGATGAGTGAAGTTTGGGGTTGTGGGATACATAAAAAAAAAATAAATAAATTGTTTGGCTTGGCTAAGTGGCTCACGTGAGCTTTTTGTTTCTTTCCAAGCTCTTCCCCAAGCCAACAATTTATGGTCACTCATTTTTTCAATGGGTTCCAAAGGATGACATGGACCAATGGGGTGGTTGTGAGTATGTGCACACAAAAACCTCTATGTGCACCATAGCTAGAGGTGTCAATTGGGTGAGTTGGGTTGGGTTCGGATTCGGTCTAACCGGGTTGGGTTCAATTGGGTTGCGAGTTCAATCGGGTCGGTTTCAATTTGGATCGGGTTTAATTGGGTTGCAAGTCAATTAGGTTACGAGTAAATCAGGTCACTGGTCAATTGGGTTACGGATCGGGTCGGGTTACGGGTGCATCAAATTACGGGTTTATTGGATTACGGGTTAATTCGGGTTCAGTCAGATCGGATTATGGGTTATTCGGGTCAACCCATTGGATCATTTACTTCTTGACAGAAAATAATGTTTTACATACTATCAATATATGAATATAAATTGTAGGTAATGATACAAAATTTAAGAACTGATAATATCATAATATTTTACTCATAAAAATTAAATATCCATTATGTTAGTATAAAAACTAAATATAAATAAAATAGTGTATATAAGGCTTTGTTGTTGGTTATAATTTTTTTTTGTGTTTATGGTGAGAGATTGTAACTTCACTTATTTTATTAATTTATAAAAAAATTGAATCAGTAAAAATTTGAGAATGAAGTAAAACAGGTAGACTATATGCTTATACATCACGAAATGAATCGTCTTAATTAAATTAGGGATGACAATGGGTCGGGTTTTGCCAAACCCAAATCCATGGGTTTATCCGTTTAAAAAATCCGGGAAAAACCCACTGGGTTTGAAAAACTCAAACCCAACCCGTTAGGTATCCGCGGGTTCATTGGTACCCACGGGTTTTTATCGTAAAAAATTTACAATAACAAGTTCCTATCAAAATTAAAGTCAAATATCAATCTCTCAATACAAATTATCCATATATAAAATACGATTCTAGAAATTTCAAACAAATCACAAATTAACTATACAAATTGTTCAACACCAATCTAGAAAACTCAAGAAAATTGAAGCAAATCACAAATTATCCATAAATAACATGATTAATTGAAAGTTTCTTCTTTTCAATTAAGTTTCTTCACTCTCCACTCTCCACTCGATAACATCAACTTCATTCTACACAATTAGAAAGAAAAAATTAGGCATGTCTCCACAAACATAAATAAGATTAGTTGTTTAGAATATTAAATATACCGAGAAAATTAATTATATGAGTGTGGGCGGGTACCATGGGGCGAATTTACCTAAACCAAAACCCAACCCGGTGAATAGTGAACGGGTTCAAACCCAAACCCGGCCCAAAACCCATCAACACGAATTTTACCCGCGTTGACCGGGTTTGGGTCGGGTGGGTACCCGTGGGTTCGGGTTTTGTTGTCATCCCTAAATTAAATATAGTATGAACTAGATGTGTGTCTCTTCATTTCCACGAAGGCTTATGAACATCATTCCTAATCACCCACTTATATATCTTCACAATTTTTTATATTTTCAATTATTAGTAGAACAACAGTTCTTTCTTGGTAAATTTAAAAATATAATAATGTATACATTAAATTTTTGTAGAAGCATTCGGGTCAAATGGGTTATTCGGGTTATTCGAGTTGGGTTCGATTCGGTTACGCGTTACTTGGTTATGAATCATTCGGGTTATAGATGGGTCTTGTTATGGGTTGGATCGGATAACAAGTTTATCGAGTTATGGGTTGATCGGATTACGGGTCAATTGATTTCGAGTTACGGGCGGGCTTCGGGTTGTTGACTTTTTGTCAAATCGGGTTACGGATGGATTGTGGATCGGGTGAGTTGGACGGGTTAGTCGGATTCAATTTTGACAGCTCTAACCATAGCAAGATTGGCATTTGAGCGCCAGATAGCGGCGCAACGGTGGGGCTTGGCTTGGCGCAATAGATCACCAACGGGCGCCGAGAGCCAGGCGAAAGCCCTGGTATGATTTTGAGTTTGCGGGCAAGCGAACTGTATGCATTAAGAAGTTAGGAGGTGGAGGTCATTTAGTAATGTTCCTTCGCCATTTCGTAAGTATCGACATTAATTAATCCACATGGCTTCGGAGTTTGGTCAGTTGGGGATGAACCGATGGAGAGAGTCTCGCACCGACAGACAGACAGTAAAAGCAAGATTCACCACTTGGCCGACATTTCAAATTTCCAATTAATGGTGTCCCAATGGAAAAGTCCCAATCTCCACACCAAGAAATGAACAACGCGACAAAGTTTCCCTCGTATCCAGTAGTCGATGAACAGAGAGTGGCGCATGATCTGAAGAGCTTGCAGATTTCTCCTATCATTACTTCCCGGGTATGCTTTCCTTCGATCCTTTATTTATTTGCTACAAGTTTGGACGAATTTGTGCCCCATGATTCTGGCTTGTGATAAGCAAATGGATTGGCATCTTCCTGTGACGTGAGCGAATTTGCGATGCGATCGTTCCGTTCTCCCTTTTTCAGGTCCTACGTCGATGGAGAAGCGGCAGGGATGCCGGAGATTCCTCTCCGCAATGGCCATTTGTTTCATAGCGTTGCCTATTTTGGTCATCTTGATCCCTGGAATCCATCAGAAAGCGTCCACCTTTGATGTCATTGGGCGATTGTACAAACCGCACCCAGTGGGAGAACGAGCTCAGAATCTCCATGGGTTGTCGTCTGATCTGGGTAAGACTGATTTCTTCACTGGGTCTATAAGAGTTTCACAGAATAGCCACCAGGTTGCAGAACCAAGCCAATGCCCACCACCTGTTTGATGAATGGTCTCTTTGCTTCAGGGTTTGATGAAAAGTCGTGCTTAAGCAGATTGCAGAGCAGGCGTTACCGCAAATCTGCAACCCAGAGGAAACCTTCTGCTTATTTACTCTCCAAACTTCGAAGCTACGAGGCTCTCCATAGGCGTTGTGGCCCTTACACTGAATCCTACAACAGAACTGTACAACTTATCGGGTCAGGGGATCTCAGTACCTTCAGTAGTACCAATTGTAAATATCTCGTATGGCATCCTGTGCATGGGATAGGAAACAGAATTGTAAGTCTGGCTTCCACCTTTCTGTATTGCTTACTAACAGACAGAGTTCTTCTTACTGATCTTGGAGAAGACATGGCTGGCCTCTTCTGTGAGCCATTTCGGGGCTCGTCCTGGGTGATGCCTAGGGAGTTTCCTCTCAAGAGCCTTTTCCGTAGGAACGCGTTTAGATTCGCTCACAGTGTTGGCAGTGCTCTGAAGAATGGCACATTGAAAGTGACAGAAGATTCCCCAGAAGCACCACCATTCCTTTTTCTGAATCTCTACAAAGGGATCTATGCGGATGCAGATTATTGTTTCTACTGTGATGAAAGCCAGTCGTTTCTTAGCAGAGTGCCCTGGTTGATTATGCTATCAGATCAATACTTCATGCCTTCCTTCTTCCTCATACCTTCATTCAAACAGGAGGCTAGCAAATTGTTCCCAGAGAAAGAGGCAGTCTTTTTTCACCTGGTTCATTATCTTGTGCACCCGTCAAATAGGGTTTGGGAGCTGATCACCAGGTTCTATGAAGCAAACCTTGCTAGTGCGAATGAAAGGATTGGCCTCCAAGTAAGACTCTTCAAAGCCCAATTCCGCACATCTGCTGTTTTTACCGATCAGATTCTGGCTTGCTTGCTGAACCAAACCCTTCTTCCCGAGATTGACAACCGGAGTCAAGAACTTTCTTCGTCCTCACCTGGAAACCAGACAACAAAAGCTGTCTTGATAACATCCCTGTACCCTCAATTCTATCAGAACCTCAGCACAATGTACTCCAACAAACCAACTGCAAGCGGTGAAGTGATCAGGTTTTACCAACCGAGTCACGAGGAGAAGCAGAAATTTGGAGACAGTGAGCATAACATGAAGGCATTGGTTGAGATATATCTGCTGAGCTTGTGTGATAAATTGGTGATCAGCTCAAAGTCGACCTTTGGCTATGTAGCTCAGGGATTAGGGGATACTCGGGCCTGGATCCTGCGAAGACCAGGACATGGGACCAATGATCCATGTGTGAGAGACCTGTCAACAGATCCATGTTTTCACTACCCTCCTTACAGGACCTGCAATGCTGCTGGAAACAACAACAGCAGCTATGTTGATGTTGCTGAACATGTTTCTTATTTGAAGCATTGCGAGGACCAGAATAGGGGAGTCAAACTAGTTGATGTTCATGAAGAGCTATAGCAAGAGGTGTCATGGTAATTCAGATATTCGATGTTTAGTTTAGTGTGATTGATTATTTCAGAGGAATAGAGCCAATTTTTGGTGTCGTATCCATGGAGCTTTTCGATGACATTACTGGTTTATTGTTGACAAGTTAAAATGTTTTGTTGTCTTTGAGAAGTCTAGTTGAAATGTAAGTTTGCAGGATTCTGAAAGGGAAGTCTAATACAGAAAATTCAACTAACAAAAAAAAACAGGTCTTATCACGTTTGAATTGAAAGTCTTTGGTTGCAAATGTTCTGATCATGTTTCAGAGAACAAAAGGATCGAGAGGAGCACATGTTCTCTTCACATAAATAATTCTTTAGGTTACAAACTTGCACCTGACGAGACGATAGATCATAGATCTCCATCAACCTAGGAATTCTTTCAGAGCTTTTTTCAGTTCTCAATCTTAACTGTCGTCTTCTATAGCTCTTCCTTCGCTTTTTGTGTCGATCTCCTCTTTCTCCTTGATAACTGCTTCTAACCTCTTCGCAAACTTGTCCCTTGCATACAGCTCCAAAGAGTCTTCTTGGCAATCACCTCATCTATGGACTCCACTTCCTCTTTTAACCTCTCAATCTCTCCGTCCATGTCAGCCACGTAATGCTTTAGCACATAAATATCAAAGTTCTTGCATTGCACCTGCACTTCCAGCTCCAAATTCTACCCATATTTAGCTCTAATCCCATTGTCTTTACCGTGCATCTTCACAGCTTTCAAGGTGCTAACTTAAAAATGGAAAGGTCCTTCGTCTGCATAAGTGAGAACGTAGAGACAGTCCTGTATCCTATCAGGGTAATGTACTCAGCCGTTGTTGTAAAAATAGTACCTCATGTGCAGCTGCAGCTGCATCTACACGTACACCAGCTTGATGGTGTCCAGAGCTTCATGGAGAAGCGGCTCAAACAACATAGAGTTGTCTTTGCATCCTCCTCCAGTGCTTGGGCCATTGCAGCAAGTCACCGGTCGTCGTGCTGGCTCGCAAGTTTCATGAAATGGTTGTTGTGCGTAGCTTGTAGGAGCAACCGAGGTGGACGATGGTTTGGTGGTTAAAGGGACCAGCTCCAGCTTCACGAATAGGGTTACTGGATCAGCATCCATATCCCTCCCAGTACCCTAGCACTTGTGGTACTCTTTCATCAGGTCTGCATCCCAGTGGTAGTAGATGTATCCTCCAGTGCCACTTTCTCCATCGATGGCCGTATGTTATTAACTGTTGCGACGCAAATGCCAATGGCAATGTAGTTAACTCGATTCAAGTCACCTGGTATTTACATTAGTCAGTCCCCCAGGTTGGGTACGGGTACTACTTCACTACTTGCTGTGTTCCCTTCCATGTCCAGTGCATCAATTCAAGTCACATTAGGTACTTCTGATGTAATTCCGACATGCCATCCATCAACCCCGGAGCAGATATGGGATCGTGCACCCCCAGTACTTCCAAGGATTTTAATTCCTGGAGGCCCTTGATTTCAGTCAACCGCCTGCACTGTCTAATATCCAAGTGCTTCAGATATTTTAGACCAGATAAATCTGACAGCTGCTTGATTGACTTGCAATGTGACATAGCTAGCAGTTCCAACCATTCCAACCTCTCGACTCCTATGACCTCCTTCAACTGCGTACATTTGCTAATATTCAAGTATCTGAGGTACTCAAGAATAGATAGATCAGGCAACTTGCTAACTGACTTGCACCTCGACATCGCTAGCACTTGCAAAGATTCCAAACTCTCAAGTCCTGTAACCTCGGTCAGTTGTGTGCATCCGCTGATGTTTAACAGTGTCAGATTCTTGAGTGCTGATAGATCAGGCAACCTCACAATTGATGCACAGTCATTCAACTTTAGCCGTACCAGCGACTCCAGTCTTTCTAGCCCCATCACCTCCGTCACTTTTGTGCATCCTATGATATCCATATTTGTCAGTTTCGTGAGACCACATAAATTTGGCAACTTCAGAATTGATGTGCACCAGGAAATGTTGAGCCGTTGCAATGAATTCAAACCATCTATCCCGCAATCCTCCGTCGACGTCAACGACCTGCATTCACTAATACTCAAACAGTTCAACTTTTTGAGGTGACACAGATTTGGCAGCTTCTTCATTGACGTGCAGCGGTGCAGTTCTAATCGTTCTAGCGATTCCAACAGGTCGAGCTCTTCCATCTCGGTCAATTGTCTGCCAGACCAAATTCTTAGGTTCTTCAAATTCTTGAGGGTAGATAGACCCGACAGCTTCTGAATGGAGGTGCAATATGAAATATCTAACTCTTCTAACGACTGCAATGTGTCAAACCCTGTAATCTCAGTCAATTGCTGGCATCCTGAAATAGTTATAACATGTAGTTTACCAAGACCAGCAAGATGAAGGATTCGGATTCCTGGGACAGATGTAGTATCTGAACCACCACCTGGGGTTTCCTCAACAGCTAAGTTCTTCAGGTTGCCTAACTTGGACAAAGAAGAAAGACGTAGTAGTAGTGTTTCTAGTGCCTGAAAGTTTGTCAGTTTCAAAGTTTGCAGTGCTTGCAGAGATTGAAGAAGTTCTTCAACACTAGCTAACTTGGGACAGCAACTTACTTCTAAATGTGTTAAAGAAGACTCTCCCATGGATGCATCCAGCCCTTGGATTTCAAACAGGGCCCAACAACTACGAATCACTAATGTGTGTAACTTGGTCAGATTGGAAATACTTGGCAGTTTCTCCAGTGCACCACAGTAGACCACAGTAAGCCGTTGCAATAGCACTAAATTTTCTAGACCGTCGAGACTTTTAAGGTTTGGCGCATCAGATATTGCAAAAGCTTCCAACATTTTCAGCTGTCCAACACCATGTATCTCATCTACCTGGACTGACCGAAGTCGTAGTTCGATTAAATTACTCAGATTTGCAAGGTCCGGCAGTGTCTCCAATTGCATACAAGAAACCACAAGGCTGTTTAGAGATGATGGGAGCTTGGCAACCGAGTCTCCCATGATTCCATTACTACTATTACTACCTGCAACTGACTCCACTTGCAGTAATAGACTCTTGCAGTGGGAAAAAGATACTGTCAGTTTCTTCAACTTGGTTAGGTGCAGCCATATATCTCCAGGAATTTCAGGCGCTCCGTGACAATGCTGAAAGCATAGATCTTCCAAGTCCTTGAGCTCCAACAGATTGGGAACACTGGGGGACGAAAGCCACAGCTTCTTTAAACTTGTGGGGAGTGCAGGCAATTCCACTCGCGATAAGATCAACATCAAGATTTCCAGAGAGTTTAAATTACCAATACCAGCAGGCATTTCGGTCAAATTGGAAGCATCGATCTCCTCCAGGTCTTGAAGCATTTGAATATCACCTTTCAACTCTGTTATCTTGCTACTCGAGAGCCTCAGCAGTTTCAAATTCTTGAAATTGCCAATATGCAGTTCCCCTCCCATCTTAGTACAGAGCTCAAGATTTATCACCTCTAGTCTGCCACAGGATGACAAGTCCGGAGCTTTCACCAAGTCCTCGCATTGCCGTAGATTTACCACTTTCAGCTTCTTACCTTCCTCCTGTACCATTACAGTCACAATCTATTTTTACCACACTCAAGTAAACATATATTGTTCTTGACATGCTAGGAAAAATAAAAGATAGGAGAGATTGATTAGCGTACCTTAACTCTTTTCCAGCCTTTCCAATCATCCCTAACGTAGGATCCTTCCAAATTAAGAATTATGACTTTCTTCAGGTTAACATCAGTTGGAATTGAACGACAGAGGCACAACTGAAGCCATCGTATATTTGGAAGAATCTTACTGAAATCTCCCGTCATTCTGCCACCCCTCACTTCAAGAAACCTTACCCCTGATAAATTCCTAAATTCTTCATCCGTCAACTTCAGAACATCTCGATCTCCCAAGTTGACTCTAAGAACTTCTACCTTGTCATTTCCCTACAATATGAAATCACCCAAGTATCAAACAAGTAGCTATCTAACTTACATGTATTAAATGAAAGTTAAAAGATGAGATGTACGCATGGATAATATAATCAAAATGCAAATAGAAATACCTTTCCATTTTCTAACATATCCAACGCCTCTTCCTCAGACCATATCCTACTACGTTTCCATGACTGCTTGATATTTTCTTCGCGAACAATAGCTCGACCAAGGTCTCTAATGTGGTCATGCATCCAGAATTGGTTCCTCTCATCAATTCTTAACAAGGATCTAAGGATAAGACTGCTAACACTACTTTCTGGATAAAACTTGCAGTCATTCCACATGTAAAAGGGTAATTCTTTAGTTTTCCCAACGAAGAAACAAGCAATATCCAAAAAGATATCTTTTTCAGCGGGAGTTAAATCATTATAACTTATTTTCAATATCTCATGCACCCTAGTATCAGAAGGTCTTTCCTTTAATTCCTCCAACTTTTCTTGCCAAACTCTTTTCTCTTTGCGAAACAAAAGCGATCCTATGACTTTTAAAGCTAGAGGAAGTCCTGCAGCAGCTTTTACAAATTCCTCACAAAGAATTTCTTTTTCTTCTTGATGATCACCCACTCCAAATGCATGTTTTCTAAAAAGTTGAAAAGAATCAATGCGAGTCATTACTTTGGCTTCGAACAACCTACATTCTTCAAAGAAGTCTAAAACCCTTATGTCTCTTGTTGTCATAATAAACCGACTTTCTATGGAAAAATCTCGTAAGTTTCCAAAAATGTTGTCAAACTCAAACCTCCTGTCTACATTATCGAGAACAATTAAAACCTTATACTTGCAAACTTTATCTCTAATTATGTGAATCCCTTCGCTAGTATCTTTAACATGGCTATCATGCCTCATAATGCTAGAAATGATCTTGTTTTGCAAAGTAACAGCACCATCATTCTTCAACAATGTTTCCCGTATATCCTCTAGAAAGCAAGAACGTTCGAACCGTGAAGAGACATCGTTATAAACAGCTTTGCTTATGGTGGTCTTGCCAATACCACCCATACCGTAAATCCCAACAATTTTCACACCCTTGGAGTCCAAGTCCAGCAAATCCCTCACTTCTTTTACGTGTGATTCAACACCAATCAACTCATCAGTTACTATCCTATAATTTCCCATCAGATGTGACCACACGTGAGAGAAAATCTTGTCTATCACGGCTCCTTGTCTGGAAATTGAACACGAGTATGACATCACCGAATCTTCAAGAAAAGAGGAACAGAGAAGGAAAATGAGAACGTTACCCGTCGGATTCGGTCACATGCCATCCTTTCATATGGCTGACCACTTGGAGAGCTTCCTTCCATTCCTTTACCGTCTCTGCATCATGTTTCCGACTGTGCTGTCGAAATGCTCGACTATAAGAACCCTCTTGGCGCCGAGCATCCCTAGGCTCCACGAAATAGAAAATGGGCAATAAGATGTGGCCTTGGTTTTGATTCAAGGATTTCACCATGAGAGAGAGCTCCTCAAGGCACCATTTACTGGAAGCATATCCTTGGGAAAGGATTGGAATGTAGATTTTGGATTCCTGGATAGCCTGGACGAGCGAAGGCGCAATCTTCTCGCCCTTTCGGAGCCCTTCATCATCAAAGAAGGTGCGAATCTTGGAATGGTCAAGGAAGTGGTAGAGAGAATCCGCAAAAGTTGTTCGCACGTCGGGACCTCTGAAGCTCAGGAAAACCTCGTAGTTTCCAGCCGGGAGAGGCCGCGTAGAAGAATCAAAGTCAGACAAAGAAGAGTTGGACTCGGAGGAGGGTTTGGAGCTGGAGTTCTTCTTCTGACGCCGGTAAAGAATGGAAACAGCAGCTAGTAAAAGTGCGGCCGTGGCCAGAAACGAAGGCCAGTTTGTGTCCATTAGAATTTAGAAATGATCTTCCAAATTGAGGAGATCTAGCTGGTCAATGCTTTCTTTCCCTCACTATAAAGTATAAAGGTTGCAGTCTTGCTCTTGCATAGACCTTTTGGGTTTTGAGTTTTGACTATATTGTCAAATCAGTTTATATTAGTAATGACAATAGGTTTATACTTTGTATTAGTAGTTTAGGATTGTTAAACCGGTTTATATTATTGTGTCAATTTAGTCAGTGATATGATTTGACTTGTGATATAATTAGTTTGTGTGGTTCATATTGGCTTAATGGCTTAATATAATATGTAATTTTATAAAACATTAGTAACATCAAATAAATATTAATTTTAAAGATAATTTCAGTATAATCTATATTTTTGTTTAAATATAATATAATATAATTGTTCCAAATTAAAATCCAAATACTCATATTTAAATACAATATTTAACGTCAAAACACAAACTTTTATACTTGATACACCAAATAATATCAATATTAGCTTTCAAACTCATGAAATTAATCACAAATTAATTTTTAAAGCAATCATGTCTGTCATACTGGTGGTATCCATACCAGTTTCATTACCGATACCGATTGAACCAGGTTCAATCGGCTGGCACTCCACCGGCGTGACAACCATGTTGTAGGCAGGTTTAGCAAGCTATATGTTCCGAGGGTAGATTAATGCCACTTCATTTCGTTAACTAGGGTGGGCGTGCGGGTGGTGAATCTGCGGTTGGATATCGACCTACCCTTAAATAACCCAAATCGCAATGGGTGGGTGATTGATGTGGGTGAATCGTGGATGAAATTTTTTATATCCTCACTCTTATTTGGGTGATTGGTGGGTAGGTTGTGACTCACCCGAATAACCCGCATTTTATGTTTACATAGAAACAAGGATTTTCTTGTTTATACTATCAATAATCATCGTACTTCCTAAACACACCACACACTAATCATCAACTTCTAAAGGTGAGAACAAAGAATTTTTTTTCACTACTAATCTACTATTGGTTACAATATTCTGTAATGTTCATTTGATATTAGGATGGAAATTATTGATGGTTAATTTTTCTACAAAATTGATTGATGAACGAATGAAAGATTTGATACCTTTGCTAAGAAATGAAATCAATACGCGTAAAGAGCCTTGGATCTCTAAACATAAGTGGTTAATGATTTGTTTTCTTTGTCGACTAAAAATTCATTTGAAGTGGCCAATTGAAGAATTTATATGAGGTGTAAAAACATTTCACATCACAAGTGCTAGATGATTCCAAAGAAGATAGAGTGGAAAGTGTCTAAATTGTTATTGTCTTAATAATTTGAAGGAATTTATAACAAGTATTAGTTAACTTGCCTAATAACTAGTTGAATAATTATTTTTGCGAGATATCCAACACCCATCAAACTATTCCGAAAAAGAATACTGGTGGATAGCGGGTGACAATTGTATCAAGTTGTTAATAAGCAGGTGAGTCAATTTTTTATCAAAATTCACTGAACACATCCACAATTTTAACAAAATTTGTAAAGAAAGTGAGAAGCTATTTAACATCAAATGAATTACCCTATATTTTACTGATAGCGAACTAGTACCGTGAAGGAAGAGTGAAAAAAACCCCATTAGGAAGTGAAATAGAACATGAACCGTAAGCTCCCAAGTAGTGGGAGGAGACGGAATTTGATCACGCGCATGTTGAAGAATGAGTTGGTGACTCATAGGCAATAATGGATTGGTTGATGGAAACCCATTGGAGCCGTAGCGAAAGCTAGTCTTCATAGGGAAATTGGACACCTAACGATTATAGAGCTTGGACCCAACTGCCGCCTGGACCTTGCCACTTCCAAGAGATAAAAATCTAACAGGTTATCCCAAGATATCATAACCAATGTGTCATATCCTCATGATGCACATTGGGATGGTAAAAGCCCCCAATCTAAATTGGGAAAAAAATCCCAAAGTACACTAGTTCTTAAAAAAAATTCCCAAAATACATAAGTTATAAAAACAAATTCCAAAAATACACATGTTTCACATTCACAGTTTTTGACAAACGCAGTGAATATAATCACCGCGTTTGACAAAAACGGTTAACATTTCACCATTTTTTAATAAAACGATGATGTGTTCACCGTCTTTAACTAAAGCGGTGAAGTGTTCACCACGTTTAACAAAAACGATGAAGACATCACCGTGTAAATTAAAAGCGGTAAATACGTCACTGTTTTAGGGCAAAGCGGGGAACATCTTCACTGTCCTAGGTTACGGCGGTGATTGTTTCCCACGTTTCCCACCCCTGGTAGGTGAAAATTAGGTCACAACTGTACATGGCGCTGGGCCGTGCTTGGGCCGGCACGGCACAGGCACGCTTCAGGCCCATTTATTTCGTGTCGTGCCATGCAAGCCCATTTGTTAACTTTGCTAGGCCCGGCCCAGGCCCGGGCACGGTTCGAATCGTGTCGTGCCTATTCGTGCTCGTGCCATGCTCGTATTCGTGTTTAATGAAAAGGACGAAAACAAAAGAGAGAATGAAAAAGAAGATGAAAATTGGACGGAGGAAGATAGTATTAGCCGATAATGTTTGAGAAAAGTAACAAATAAGGGGGAAAAGAAAATTGGAAGTATAGCGAGTGTGATTTGGATTTGTTTAATTCTTTGTCCATTTTTATTTATGTTAGTAATTACATATATATCTTTATGACACTTCTAACAACAACAAATAATTATTTTTCTATTTGTGTTTTGTAATATTTGAACCTATAATTCTTTTTATATTTATTTTCTATCAAATAAATATTATTTTCGTGCCATGTTCGTTCTTATACTCAATAAAGTCTCGAAAATATTAGGCCCGACACGGTCCACTTATATACCGTATCGTGCCCGTGCCCATGATGTTTAGGCCCGGCAAGGCCCATAAATTATTCGTGCTCGTGCCGGGCTGGCCCATTTATTTCGTGCTCGTGTCGTGCTCTAACCGTGCCGTGTCGTGCTAGCCCGTGGGCGGCACGGCCCGGTGCCCACGTACAGTCACAACCACCTAATGTTCACCATTTGAGACAAACGCGGTGATTTTGTTCACCGTTTGAGACAAAGGCGGTGAATGCTGGCCGATTTTTCTTTAAATACCACTCCCACCAGCAGTTGTAAAAATGTAGCCTAATGGTTGTATTTAGTAGTTATATTGTTATGTTACGAATTACTTATCGTTGCAAATATGGCCGATGTTATGAATTACTGGAATTAAGCTAATAGTTACTTATTGTAAATTGTAGATATGGGTAAATTCAAGAAGTTTCAGCTTATTATTCGGTGGAATGGAAGGGTGACAAACTGTGACATAGGGATTGATTATGAGGACGGTGTATCCACTATGCTGAAAATTGAGTCTCGATTCAATTTTCAAGAACTCTGTGATATTTGTACAGACAGGGTTTGTACGAGCGGATAGACGAGACTTGGTAAAATTAGTTACCGGTATCCAGACATGAGTGCCGGCGGGGTTGTGTACCAAGAAGTTGTCATAAACGATGATGACGCGGTTACGATGATGTTACAGTTCCTAAGCGAAAACGGGATGCGGCTTGCAGAGGTGTATGTTGAGATCGAGGCAGTCGGTGAAACTCATTGTCACCAGTATTCTTATGATGATGGTTTTGCAGGAGGGTACGCATGAGGTGGTAGTTCGAGCAACTACGAAGGAGGTGGTTATACAGGAGGTTACGGAGAGGGTGGTAGTTCAAGCAACTACGGTGGAGGTAGTAGTGCAAGATGGGTGCCATCAGAAGAATACTCGCAACGGGATCAACCTGCCGATGGCGTTTAATGGCCTGCTTGGGGGCCAGAGTGAGATAAAATCGAGAATACCATTCGATCAGGGCGTACTTCACATGAGCGAGAAGACGATGTTGGTGATGGTGGTCATGTTGATCCTTCTGGACCGAGCTATCCATTCGACTCGAGCGACGATGATACTGAGCGAGGAGGAAGATACTGATGATAACGACGACGAGGTGGCATTTTGTGAGGCACTAACGCCATACTACACACAAGTTTCAACTCAATTTTTACATAGTCAGAATGATGCCCCGACTTTGTCCATATGTCAGTCTATAATCCGACAGCCAATTTGGAGGTGGGTATGGCGTTCTCATCGAAGGACGCTGGGGCGCAATTTCGAGTGGAAGGTAAAATATTCTGATAGTAAACAACTACATGTCATATGCAAGAATGATGCAGAGGATTGTATGTGGCAACTGCGGGCTGCAAATATGAAGAGAAAGGGTGCCTGGGTGATTCGAAAAGCTGAGACCAACCACACTTGCTCCTTGTCCATACGTTCTCAAAATCACAGGCAACTTAAAGCAAAGAAAGTTGGGAGAACTATTAAGCATCTTATCGAAGCACAACCAGATATCAAGGTCAAAGCTATCATGACCGAGGTGAAGGATCGACATTCTTACACGATAAGGTACAAAAAAGCATAGCATGGAAAGCAGAAAGCCATGGCTGAGGTGTATGGTGATTGAGAGGATTTGTATGCTTTATTCCCTAGACTTATGGCCGCAATGGAGGAGTCCAACCCTTGGACTGTTTTCGTGCCAGTATACAACAATGTATACACTAAGGATCAAGTTCGAGTACATGACGGGTTTGCGTTCTGCATACCAATTATTCAGGTATTTTAATAACTATTTACTATTTGAAATGTTTGTATTCTTTCCTGCTAAGTAAATTTCATACTAATTATATCCTAATTTTTAATTAGGTTGATGGAACTTTCCTTACTGGGAAGTACAGAGGAACTCTTCTCATTGCCACTGGCGTTGATGGAAACAGGCGGATTTTCCCGCTTGCATTTGCATTAGTGGAAGGGGAGAACATGTTAAGTTGGGCATGGTTCTTTGACCAACTACACGAACAGGTGACACAGCGGGAGGTTATTACGATTATATCCGATCGACACGCGGGGATTAGGAATGTCGTGGGTGGTGTATTCGACACTGGCTCGCCAATTTCGAGCACAAACTT